CTCCCAAACTCTGGAATAGCCTTCTTGATAACGTTCGGGGTTCAGACACACTCTTTCTGTTTAAATCTAGATTAAAGACACATCTCTTTGGCCAAGCATTCAAATAATGCATCTCATAATCTTGTACTGCAGTTATATCTGATCAAATGCACATTATTATTCTTTAGTTTGGGTTAAACAAATCAATTTGCTTGGTTGGAACAGCAGCTACGCTAATAATGTCTCTATTTGTTTCTCTGTTTTACCATGGGATTAACATCCCATGTTAACTAGGATTGACACAAGCTTCAGTCTGGATCCAGAACACCTGAGAAGAGATGATGCAACCCCTCAGAGGACCTCAGATGATGCCAACCCTGAAACAACATACAGAACTACCACATTTTGCTATAAGTTTGATTGCATCATATAATAATTGCTGTTAATAGTGTTCATCGTCTGTTTGATTATGTCTTTAATTGATTTTTCCGTACATTTCTGCCATATGTACATTAACTGAAAGTCACCGCTGATAACCTACCACTAAATAATTTGCTGTAAAGTTGCTTTGCAATGACTGGTATCATGAAAAGCGCTGTACAAATAAACTTGAATTGAACACTGCAAAAACAGCATGCAAATTAAAATCACTAAAAATCCACGAGAACAAAAATAGATACTAGCCAACTTACTTCTCTAAATAGCTTGTGACTAATCTATAATTAGTTGTAAAACTACAATAAATAGTTGGAATTTTATATATACTATCATTAAAAAGTTTGAAATTAAAAAAAAAAAAAGTTTTTTAAAGTCTCATGCTCACCAATGCTGAATTTCTTTGATCAACATAAAAACTATTTCTAAAAGCAATATTGTTTTTTTTTTTTACTGTTTTTATGATGATACAGTATACAATTTAAAATTATAGCTATGAATTAAAATAACTGTTCTCTATTTTAATATATTCAAGTTTTTTAAAGTCTCATGCTCACCAATGCTGAATTTCTTTGATCAACATAAAAACTATTTCTAAAAGCAATATTGTTTTTTTTTTACTGTTTTTATGATGATACAGTATACAATTTAAAATTATAGCTATGAATTAAAATAACTGTTCTCTATTTTAATATATTCAAAAATAAAAAAATGTCTGATGATAAAGCTGTATTTTCAGCATCATTACTCCAGTCTTCAGTGTCACATGATCTTCAGAAATCATTCTAATATACTGATTTGCTGCTCAAGAAACATTTCTGATCTGCAATTCTGATTATCAACTAAACAAATGTGACCGTAAAGGGATTCATACCGTTACAAAATAGTTCTATTTCAAATAATTGCTGCTCTTTTGAACATATTTATCAATGAATTTTGCAAAAAGTAGATAGATAGATAGATAGGATACCCGGGCAGTTGCTAAGGTGTTGCTATGAAGTTGCTAGGGTACCTGGGGTGGTTGCTAGGGTGTTGCTAGGGTACATGGGGTGGTTGGTAGGGTGTTGCAATGCGGTTGCTAGTGTACCTGGGGTGGTTGCTAGGGTGTTGCTATGCGGTTTCTAGGGTATCCAGGTGGTTGCTAAGGTGTTGCTATGGGGTTATTAGTTCAGTTATTAGAAAAAAGCTATCTTTAACATTGATTGATTCCTCTCAAAACATGAAGTCACAATTTTCTAAACTTTTGACTGGTGTTGTATACATATACGGCATACATATTAACCTAAAAATAACTACCCAGAAATAATTTGGTTTAATGCAAAAAGTCACAAATCCTATAGCATGGCCAGATTACATCATGCAGTTCATCCTCACTTGCGTAAACACACGAGCACCCATCAACGAACAATGAGGCTGTTTACAGCAATGGGGCAACCCAAAGTGAGCCTATGGGGTCAGGCACCTGGCAGCTCGTCACCCAATTAACACGAGGGTGTCTGTAATGAGTGTGTGCTTCCCCTCTGTGCTTGTGCCAGGGAAGAGTTTAACCTGAGGTTACACTTTCAAAAGGGTCCAAGGTGTTGAGATTTCCCAGCGCGTGAAGCACTCAAGCCCTGTGTGCTTCCTTCCTCCTCGGAGGAACTCCTGCCACATGTGCCGTGTGCTCCGAGCATCTACACACCCTACGTGATGTTCCTTCCTCTAGTCCAGTAAATCAATGCGAATGAGGCCACAGGACAATGACAGAAAAAGGGAAAAAGTGAAGCTGACACAGATTCTGGATTACTGGCAGAGCAAACAAGAGGCTGTGCTGCCAAAAACATGAGCATGCCGTAACTGGAATCCATGTGAACGTGCACTTAGTTACAAATACTACAGTCCGCGCCGTTTCCCACTTTTTGGAATAATAATAATCAAACTGAAAGAATGGGAATCAAAGTATAGGAAGTGTGCGCCGACATTAAAACTCTCCTCACACTATTCCTTCTCTCAGCCATCAATGAGGTGCATCTCGGGATGCTTTTAAACAGGAGCCCAGGTAGAAAAAAGTGCACTTCCATAAGGTACTTAAAGTGCTCTACTTTCACACACACCAATTTTGTACTTAATATACTTAAAAATATATTCTTTAGTACTTCTTCAGATAAACTTCGAAGTGCACTCAACTGTGCTATTTTGGGACATCATGAATATGAACCAAATACTTTTAACACACTATCTCTGTATTTCACAAATGCATTTAGTTACCACTTGTAGTAAACCTGATTGTACTAGTGTATGAAAGATGGGTTTGAGTGTACTACAGTTTGAGATAGTATGTTAAAAAGCACATTTTAGTACTAAAGAATATTTTTAGTATATTAGATACAAAATTAGAGTGAAAATAGAGCACTTTAAGTGCATTATGGAAGTGCACTTTTTTCACCTGGGAGTTCACATGTATATTTAAATATATATATATATATATATGATATTTGATTGATAATGTAGTCGGCAGATGTTTATTAAAGAACCTGCACAAGCAAACGTATCAATGCAGATCACCTTAAAAAGTCCCACTACTGGCCCATATATATCGGTCTATCAGAAACACAAATAGAATGGAATTGACAATAGAATGATGCCGTTAAAAACACGACTTTGTTTCGTGGACACAAACACTATAGAAACCTGACTGCAGACTGTACTCGTTACTTCTTTTCAATACCACCTGAGCGCGCTCCATCAACCTTTGTTACAGTGCCGGGGAAACTTACTGTTAAAAGTAATGCATTACAATATTGCGTTACTCCATAAA